TAGTACTATTAAATTACTTTTGGTTGATTTTTAACTTCATCAATAATAGTTTTATAGCCATCTAAAAAAGGATGAAATGGTAATTAGCATTTTCCCCACTAATGATATTATATTTTTATTAAAAAATTTAAATATCTAACAAAATCACCCAACTTTACAAGGAATGAATTTACAAAGCGTAGTCGGTAAGCAACATAAACATGAGAATTAAATACTATTATCAAAAAAAAGTTTTGTACTACCATAAAAAAAAATCGTAAAAAAAAAAAAATTCTGCTGCGAGCGAGATTTGAACCCCAGAATGCTCAAAGCAAAATTACACAATGCGGTACTTAGTTACCTTGACTACCAACGCACTCTTTTCTTTAGCACTTACAGTGACACATGTTTATCGTGAAGCTCCAGGGTTTAAGCTTAAGTATTAGTTTATTTTTTCTTTATATTGATAATTGTGTTAAAGTTTGGCCTACAAGTAGAATTATTTTTCTAAATATTTTCACAATTACTTATTCTTATTAGAAAAGTTACATGTGTTGAAGAATGATATTTTAATTACAGAAAAAGTCATTCTCTATTGAATAAACTCAAAAATCAAAGTGAAGCGTGTGTGTATTATTCTGATATTTTTAATGTGCTAAATTTTTATAAATCTATAAAAACATAAATTATTCAAGTTGTAAAAATGATTATTTTATAAATATCAAGTTTCAAGAAGTTACATTAAATATCGGGGCTTACGTTTTTATTACTCAATTTTTTATTTTATACGAGGAAAACTCAGTATTTAGCTGTACAAGTATTTAATACACATTTAATGAATAATATATGACCGGACATATAATAACTGTCCAACATTCAAAACCGCTTTTGAGGGAACATCACATCAGGAATAGATATAGGTATACGCATGCATGCGAGAGCTGCGAGCTGCGAGAGCCGGGAGCCGAGAGCCGAGGCAGCTAGAATACAAAACATATATAGCTATACCCGTGTATACGCACATATTCCTTCCCCCTCTACTAGGTACCTATCGTACGCACAATTTGGTCTTCTCCTCCGCTGCTGAAACGTGCGTATAGTTCGGCTGATTTGCCGCGACGGGGCGCTCAAAACAGTGGAAAAAAAGCGACACACTCTCTACCATAGGCGCTGGCAATCTCCCTTCTAATCTCTGGACAAATGTATATATCCAGACGCACCATGTCATGCGCACCTCGTAACGGTCATCGTTCTCGCGCGCGTCACTACCCCAAAAAATCTCGCACACACTCACACGTCTCTAACATTCTTCCTATCGGTCTAAGTGCTATCAATGCGTAAGAAAGCTAACAAATGGCATGCAGGGTGTTGATGTTTACCGGAAGTATCATCATCGGCGAAACGTGGAGCAATCTGTTGGGTCAACTGCCAATGTGCAAACACTGTGGAATTCATGTTTCAAACCTAGTAAATCATCTTGATAGCAAATTTCACATAATCGTTTATGCAATGAATGTCGAAAACGACGTCTTGCTTTCTGATGACGAAGAGGAAGATAACGAGAGTCAGGAAGGTGATACGAGATTTCCCATGTTGCCAATTCCCGAGACATTTGAGAATAGTATAGAATACGCGCAAGTGTTCCTACCGTTTATTCTCAACGCGAAAGCGGCGAGCAGGCGCCAGTGCAGGAGCCAAATTATAAAGAACGTAATTGTGAATTGGGAACGTGACACCATTAGTTTACCGAGACCACAAAGTTTTTTCGTTCTTCCGCCGTTGGACGAGAAGGAAGACCCAAAATTTGTCGCAGATTACGGTGCTTTGTCAGTCGGCGATAAAATCGTGTTGCACCTCGTAACAACCCCGCCAATTTGGACCATGTCTTGTTTCGTCGTCAAACTTATAAAGTAGGATATCACCGTTATCGTTTTGAACGACAGTTGTGGTCTGGATACAAACATGAAGCTCAGATATGATGTTAAATGGAAGTGGTGCTCTGGAATCTGTTGAAGGGACGTCTGTCAGTTATTGACTTTTCCTATCTAATCGTATGTTCATCCATCTATCGATCGATTTCAACTTACATCGTATTTGTTTTAGGATGCAGTATGCTGTCACAAACCTAAAAAAATTTATCTCGTTTGTGTTAAAAGATTGTGCTTCATGATCTGAGGAAGGATGATGTGTATGTGTTTAAGGACAAGCGATTTTCGCCTAATGAGCAGCAGTTGATGGCGTTCAGATTATTCTGCTCGTATGCTGTTACGCTCGTGCATGAACCACTGGAAACTGGAAAAACCTCGGCCATAATTTTTATGATACTCAGTCTGCTGAAACAGAAACCGCACGCTAGAATACTTGTTACTGCACTGAGCAACAACACGGTTGATATATTAACGAAAGCCCTGAGTAAAGTAGGCGTCTCGCTCGTAAGGCGCTTTTCTCTCCGTTACATTTTCTTCGACTGCCCAGCTAAGCGATTTGGACTGACGGAGAAAGTACTAGCGATTGATCCATGGTTAAAAAAGCATCACAAATCGTACCTCGCCAACGAGCTGTTACCACATGAAAAATCACGCTACAAGTAAGTATACACATCTCTCTTTCTGCCTTCATTGTTTACTTATTGGAATCAACCATACGGGATGGCAAGTCTCAAATAGCATATCATTAAGCTAATACTGTATTTCTTTTAACAGGAATCTATTTAAAGAGGTGAGTTACACCATCATCTCGAGTGTTAACGTCGTTCTTACGACGTGCGCCTCATCCAAAGAGGAGGAGTTCAAAAATAATAACTTTGACGTCGTGTTCATTGATGATGCAATGAAAGCAACGGAGCCTGAGTTATTGGTCGCATTTGTGATCCACTCGCCGTCGAAACTTATTCTTGTTGGCGACCACAACCAGCTCGGACCGGTACTCCAGTCGTTGCAGACCCAAGCATTCGGCTTTCAAATGTCTCTCTTCGAGGTTCTCCAGGCACGTCAACTGGTACCCAGTATCACTCTCGTGACACCAGAGATAAGTAGGGAGATTGCCAGTGCCTATGTTAAAGAGTGTACCGATGTTTCGGCACTGATTTGAGCACCAATCCAACGTGGCCAGCAGAGGAACCATGCACACGTTTTCTATTGGCTGGTGGCTTGTAGGCTCGGCTCGCGGGGAGAGGTAAGGGGAGATGAGTGAGGGAGACATGAGAATCCAAATGTGTGCATTGGTGATGGAGAGAGGAGAAGCTAAACCTATATGTATTTTTTTTTAATATTATAGTGCTCTACGTCCAGCTCCTTTAATAAGGGCACTACTATGGGCACTTAGCACTTGGGAGAAGGAAGGGAAGAGGAATAAGGAGGCCTCTTATTACTGGGAGGAGGGTAGGGGGAAATTAGGCAATTATGCTGCGAGAACGTCACCTAAACCTTCCTCGAGGAGCATTGCGTGGTGAAAAATCACAGAGGTACTTGCCAGTAAAGTCGCACTGGCCGGGAATCGAACCACGGTCTCCCGCGTGCCAATCCACGACCTAGCCGACTGAGCCACCGCGCGCTCTTAAACCTATATGTATATGCATACAACGGGCTATTTATCTATAGCTATAGTTGTACACTGCTCATACGGAAAAGAGCTGCGCGTAATACTTTTCTCGCTTTTCCTCCCTGAAAGAAAGATAAGCTTTTTAAATGCAGTTGATCATTCGTTCAACTATAAAAACAAAAACATAATTGTCAGGTTATTAACAATTTTTTTTTCATTTTTCAAAAAATGACAAGCTCAACGCAATTCGTATATTATTTTGCTTTATTAATAAACGAGTGCCTTTATCCCAATAATCCAGTGCGCTTAATTGTTCTTCACTTTTATGATAAGTGAAATTATTGAATAATAAATAAAGGCATTCACCACAACGACACAGTACGCTCAAATATTTTTTGTACTAAGTAAAATTATTTACTAATATACTGAACACCTTTACCCGAACGACCCATCGCGCTGATATCTTTACTTGTTAATTTATATTTTTTCACCATTAATACATAGCTTAACGGCAATAATACAATAAAGTTTAAATTAAATCTCAAGCACCGAAACTTTACTATAAAGATATGTAAATTTTAGTCTCATTGTACCCTAAGCATTAATAGCTAAGATGGCTAGAACTAGAGGGTGGATTTTAGTTTTGCGGCTCCGCGTGCTAATCTCACTCGGAGAAAATTTTTTTTTTTTTTTATTCCAACACTATTTAAATGTTTCATACTTTTTTATTTTTGATTACTTACGTATTTTGTTTCACCAGTAACTAAAAAGGTTTTTTTTTTTCAATATTGGTACACGATCCAAGAAATTTTTTTTTCCATTCATGGCTAAAAAAATTATTTGACGCATTAAGTAAAAACTTTTCAAGTGCAGTTGATCATTTATTCAACTACACAAAGAAAAACATAATTGTCAAGTTATTAAAATTTTTTTTTCACTTCTTAAAAAATGACAAGCTCAACGCAATTAACATATTATTTTGCTTTATTAATAAACGAGTGCCTTTATCCCAATAATCCAGTGCGCTCAATTGTTCTTTACTTTTATAATAAGTGAAATTATTGAATAATAAATAAAGGCATTTGCCACAACGACAAGGTACGCTCAAATATCTCTTGTACTAAGTAATATTATTTACTAATATACTGAACACCCTTACCCAAATGCCCCATTGCGCTGATATCTTTACTTGTTAATTTATATTTTTTCACCATTAATACATAGCTTAACGGCAATAATACGATAAAGTTTAGATTAAATCTCAAGCTTCGAAACTTTACGATAAACATATGTAAGTCTTAGTCGTCTCAAAAACCAAGCTTTGTTAGCTCAGGTGGCTAGAGCAGGAAGGTGGAATTAAGTTTTGCGGCTCCAGGTTCTAATGTCACTCGGTGCAAATTTTTCTTTTTTTGTATTATAACACTACTTTAAATGTTTCACACTTTTTTTTATGATTACTTACGTATTTTGTTTTTAAATGATGGGAAATCTTGGCTGTAGTGTATTGCTCCTGTCATCGTTTACGGTAAAACTTTACTCTCTTGTAGCCTGTGGTGTCCATTAATTATTATATTTTCCCTTTGGAAAAAATATGGGTAAAACAAAAAAAAATCCAATGACTTGTGATTACTTTACGAATGCCGATTCACATACTAACTGATGCAAGCTACTCTTGCTAATGTAATTTTTCTTTTATTTTTAGGTGAAAATGTAGATGATGTCAATTCTAGTGTAGAATGAGGAGAAGAAAAAACTGTAGAAAATAAATTCTAAATGGTGTGGCCATAAATAACCCAAAACATGGCCAGTAATCAGGTGGAGTACCAATGGTTGGTGTTATTTTTGGTATACCTATTTGGGTACAAAGTGGTACGAATCGAAATTGAAGATTTGAGTAATAATACATGCAATTTTCAGGGCCTACACTGTAATGGACTCATCAAGGGTATCCACCTACTTGATATCGATTTTGCTTATTGTTTATGGTAGTTTTCGATCACTCAACATGGAGCAAGAGGCAAGGGAGAGAGNAAAAAAAAAAAAAAAAAAAACGCGCGCGCGTAATGTGGCCACATTTAATGTGCCGGTCTCCAGCCCAGAAAAACTACAAAGAGAACGTGCATTTTTTCCTAATAACCTATTATAAGTAATTACCACAAACAAAGCTGTAATGACTTCCTTTTTTGATAATTACTTCTCCATAAAACGCGGGCGCGTAATGTGGCCACATTTAGTGTGCCGGTCTCCAGCCCGGAAAAACTACAGAGAGAACGTGCCTTTTTTCATTATAACCTATTACAGGTATTACCACAAACAAAGCTGTAATTACTTTCTTTTTTGATAATTACTTCTTCATAGAAAGTAATTTAAAAAAATTTTTTTGGTCACTGGTAAAACAAAATACGTAAGTAATCATAAAAAAAAGTGTGAAACATTTAAAGTAGTGTTATAATACAAAAAAAGAAAAATTTGCACCGAGTGACATTAGAACCTGGAGCCGCAAAACTTAATTCCACCTTCCTGCTCTAGCCACCTGAGCTAACAAAGCTTGGTTTTTGAGACGACTAAGACTTACATATGTTTATCGTAAAGTTTCGAAGCTTGAGATTTAATCTAAACTTTATCGTATTATTGCCGTTAAGCTATGTATTAATGGTGAAAAAATATAAATTAACAAGTAAAGATATCAGCGCAATGGGGCATTTGGGTAAGGGTGTTCAGTATATTAGTAAATAATATTACTTAGTACAAGAGATATTTGAGCGTACCTTGTCGTTGTGGCAAATGCCTTTATTTATTATTCAATAATTTCACTTATTATAAAATTGAAGAACAATTGAGTGCACTGGATTATTGGGATAAAGGCGCTCGTTTATTTATAAAGCAAAATAATATGTTAATTGCGTTGAGCTTGTCATTTTCTAAGTGAAAAAAAAAATTTTAATAACTTGACAATTACGTTTTTCTTTGTGTAGTTGAATAAATGATCAACTGCACTTGAAAAGTTTTTACTTAATGCGTCAAATAATTTTTTTAGCCATGAATG